AGCAAGTAATAATGAAGTTGTTGAATTACACCAAAAATTATCATATATATATCCAAAAAACTATATAGTTGCAGATAGAGAATTAAGAGCATGGCATTCTATGTTAAAAGCTGTGGGATGTACCAATATCACACCATTTAATACTCATGAATCTAAGGTGACAAATTCATTTATTTGTATTTATATATAAAAGGTTTATTGATTTACTGTATTTATATTCTTAGTATGAATTCTGGACAAAATCCAAATATCCAAAATTATTTGAACAAACATTTACGATGTTATATGAGACAGGATTTTTACGAAGCATACCATTTACAACGTTCAATACTACTAAACTTTTTGGGACTGTTTTAGTCAAAGTTTAAATGATAATCCGATAGGTTCAAATGGAAAAAGAAGAATTTTATCAATTATTGCTGATAGTTTTTCATATGAAGAACTTCAATCTAGACTACATGTAAGCAAAGACAGTCACTATTAAGATTAAAATTGCTTACATGATATTAATTTAGTTTTCTAGTGATAATAACTTAAACTATTTGAAACGTTTGAAATGCTTTGAGTTATATAGTAACTACTATATATAGATTTATTTGCGCAATAGCTCACTAACCGGAGTACCAAAAGTTGATTAAAAAATATATATTATTAACAACCTTTTTAGGGACGTGTCAGATATTAGCTGAGATAAATTTACTATAGAGCCCACCCCTTTCTGATTGGCTATATGCGTATATTTAAACCTGAGATTTTGTCTACCACCCTCCCCCCTATGATATTAGCTGATATCTAATATGTCTCTTAGTATTCCGATTAGTGAACTGTTGCGCAAATAGACTTGTTAAAAAATATCTGTTATGAAAAATTGTTAGTAAATATCTTTAGCAAACTAGTAATCAGGAATAATACAAATACTATAACATTAATAGTAATTAATTATAATTTTACTTGCTTATATAAAAATACAAGGTTTCTTCAAACTTAATCAACATAGCCAAAGGTCATGCACGCATTAATGGATATGGAGATCCTGCTATTCCAAAACTACAAATAAAATGACAGATTATACTTGAACTTCTAGAGGACCAATATGAATCTTTTATGTTAAACAAGGCTAATGTTAATATGAGTTCGTATAAGGTACATGGTAAAACAGAATTACCGCTAATGTATCTTACTGACAATCGAGAAAAAATTTGGGAAAGATTTCATGCCGAATACCCAGAAGGTCTCGGCCGCACTGCATTCTTGGATCGATTACGTCAAGGACCGTTCACTTTTAAGGAGGATTTGGGCAGGTTATGTATATTATATAACCATTATGGATATGAAAGTTTTCATAAATTGTCAAATCTTGTAATAAAAAATGAACTTGAAATCTCAAAACAGGTATTAGTAAATTCTATATGAGTGCTGAGTGCTGAAGAGTGAAAACTTGAAAGTGAATATTTGAGTTTATCACTATAACAGACTTAGTCTTACAAGACTAAATCTGTTACATAATAAAC